GACCATATCGCGGGCTCAGATTTAGAGCTCATCGAAGTCGCGTGTTTTTTTGACATTTAACCGCTGACCAAGTACTGTTTTTCCATTGGATCGCGGGCTCAAGTCAGGTTATTACTCTGGAGGAGAAGGGGGGACTACGTGCAAAGACAATCTCGGCACAAATTAACCCCTGGTACGTTGTTGACTTTTCTGCTGACATATTCCTTGCAGAATCTTCTAGAAAGTCCGTGATATATTGCGCACGAACATTCTTCAATCTTGGAAAAATTGGTTACGCTTACTGCGTATAGTTTGTTAATTAACTGGAAAAAATAGCGAGACCACACGCTGAACAATTACACGCTCACTATTGATCATTTTTGGGGGTTTCTCATTTTTTTTCCCATTGTGGACAATTATTGCAATCAGGAATTCCGCTTTTATCTATATATTAAACTTACCCTCTTCCTGTTTCACGCTTTATTTTAAGAATGGCGTAGGACGGTGAGCGACTGACTAAACCCTGTTTTTAAAGAGAAATAATTTATATGCCTCTAACATGAAATTGACGCAGATGCTAATAACCTTTCAAATTATACCCCATTGGTACTTATTTTTGAACACCTTATTTTCGCGCTTTTCGTTGGTCAGTTGCAAAAAAACAGCAACCTCAAAAAACACCTTGCGAAAATTATAATATGCACGAAACTTCCCTCTGAAGATAAATTTACTAAAACTGTTTAACAAGCGAACGACTGATTATGTTTGTACGGGATCAAAAAGCTCCTGCCTGAAATAACGGTGTATTGATAATTCATTAACTCTGCGAAGTTTAAACAAATAAAACCTTTTTGGAGGTACGTTCGCGAAATTTGATGTTCTCTGTTTTCTTTTGCCGAATTTAATTAGTGCAAAATTACGTACCAATAAGGTAATTTATGGTAATTTTTTAAACTGTTTGCGTCATAATGTCGGATTTGTCATTTTAAAAAGGAAAAAGATAATGAAAACGTTTTCATTCATTTCTAAACTGTTGAGCTCTTTTGAGTTCCGTCGTAGCATACCTCACGTTTCTTGCAAATTCGCCTTCAGTTTTTCAAGGTAAGGGCTTTCTTTATGCTCTGTGTATAAAACCCAGCCTTTTCGTGATATCACTAGCATAGATTCCACCTTTACAATTGGGTTTAGAATTCCATACGGTTTAAAATGGTGGTCACTAGATATTGTTTTAAAACCGTCTTTACTTTTATCCAGAACAGGGAAACCTTAACGTATATTAGAAAAGCTCCGAATAAAGCATAAACTTCTAGCGATTATTATCATGTCCATTATATATGAACTTGGAAGGGCACAGAAAATTCTGCCTGAATTGACCCAGCGATATGCCGAGCGGGTTTAAATTTGCCCCTTTGCCTAGAAGACAGAGTATAGGCAGTTCCCTGTGGCTTGTGTGATATGTTCTTATCATTCATTCAAAAGATAATAAAACCTATAATCTTGCATTGGAAACCCCAAAAAAGATCGCGCAAGAGTTTTGAGTAATGAAGATAGTTTCCCTGCTTCTTATGTTAATGTTGGCTGAATTCAAATACGTGATCGCATGATCAGAGAAAAAGGACATCTGCTTTTCACGAGTCATCGTTATTAAAAATAGGAACAGGAAAAATAATTACTGACCTACTTTATATATCCAAACATATGTGGTAGAGACTCGACCGAGTTTTCTTAAATTAAAAACATATTTTACCTACTTGATTTGAGGAAAAAGTTATGAATTTGACCTACGTTTGCTTATTAAAGCAGATGTGTTAGCGCGGAAAAGTTATGCACTTAAGAGTGCCTGCTTGTAAAAATCAGACGAATTCTTAATTTCGCAGCAGGGGTCGAAAATTCGATTTCGCTCATATTGTTATGGTAGATAGGCTAGGGCATGACAAAAAACTACTGGATAG